GCGCAACTATATATTTAAAGAGCCGTCTAAACGTTGATGCAAAAAAAATTCGGAAAATGTTACTTTTTACTTATATAGGTGTGGGCGACATACCTGTTGAAGGTTTTTTTACTACAAATTTAATTAGTTATATTTTTTGATTGAAGGATTTAAGATCGAATTTCAAAACTAATGCAGATAGTTTAAACCGTCACTGATTAACACTTTTGGCAAAAAAAAATTTCAGATATTGTAATTATAGTGGGTCAACGGGTTGAAAACGGTTTTAAAACAACGTTTCTGTTACTTAGATTATTCGTTAGAAGGAGTTTTCTTTTTATCTTGCAAATGGAAGCAACTATATATTTAAATAGCGGTTATAACGTCGATGCAAAAAAAATTCGAAAAATGTTACTTTTTACTTACATATATGTGGGCGACATACCTGTTGAAGGCTTTTTTACTACAAATTTAATTTGTCATATATTTTGATTGAAGGATTTAAGATCCAACTTCAAAACTAATACAGATAGTTTAAACCGTCATCGAGGAACCCTTTTGGCAAAAAAAAATTTCAGATATTGTAATTATAAAGGGTCAACGGGTTGAAAACGGTTTTAAAAAGACGTTTCTGTTACTTAGATTATTCGTTAGAAGGAGTTTTCTTTTTATCTTGCAAATGGAAGCAACTATATATTTAAATAGCGGTTATAACGTCGATGCAAAAAAAATTCGGAAAATGTTACTTTTTACTTATATATATGTGGGCGACATACCTGTTGAAGGCTTTTTTACTACAAATTTAATTTGTCATATATTTTGATTGAAGGATTTAAGATCCAACTTCAAAACTAATACAGATAGTTTAAACCGTCATCGAGGAACCCTTTTGGCAAAAAAAAATTTCAGATATTGTAATTATAAAGGGTCAACGGGTTGAAAACGGTTTTAAAAAGACGTTTCTGTTACTTAGATTATTCGTTAGAAGGAGTTTTCTTTTTATCTTGCAAATGGAAGCAACTATATATTTAAATAGCGGTTATAACGTCGATGCAAAAAAAATTCGGAAAATGTTACTTTTTACTTATATATATGTGGGCGACATACCTGTTGAAGGTTTTTTTACTACAAATTTAATTAGTTATATTTTTTGATTGAAGGATTTAAGATCGAATTTCAAAACTAATGCAGATAGTTTAAACCGTCACTGATTAACACTTTTGGCAAAAAAAAATTTCAGATATTGTAATTATAGTGGGTCAACGGGTTGAAAACGGTTTTAAAACAACGTTTCTGTTACTTAGATTATTCGGTAGAAGGAGCTTATTTTTTCTGTTGCAAATTGGCGCAACTATATATTTAAAGAGCCGTCTAAACGTCGATGCAAAAAAAATTCGAAAAATGTTACTTTTTACTTACATATATGTGGGCGACATACCTGTTGAAGGCTTTTTTACTACAAATTTAATTTGTCATATATTTTGATTGAAGGATTTAAGATCCAACTTCAAAACTAATACAGATAGTTTAAACCGTCATTGAGGAACCCTTTTGGCAAAAAAAAATTTCAGATATTTTAATTATAGTGGGTCAACGGGTTGAAAACGGTTTTAAAAAGACGTTTCTGTTACTTATATTATTCGTTAGAAGGAGTTTTCTTTTTATCTTGCAAATGGAAGCAACTATATATTTAAATAGCGGTTATAACGTCGATGCAAAAAAAAGTCGAAAAATGTTACTTTTTACTTACATAGGTGTGGGCGACATACCTGTTGAAGGTTTTTTTACTACCAATTTAATTTGTCATATATTTTGATTGAAGGATTTAAGATCGAACTTCAAAACTAATACAGATAGTTTAAACCGTCATTGAGGAACCCTTTTGGCAAAAAAAATTTCAGATATTGTAATTATAGTGGGTCAACGGGTTGAAAACGGTTTTAAAAAGACGTTTCTGTTACTTAGATTATTCGTTAGAAGGAGTTTTCTTTTTATCTTGCAAATGGAAGCAACTATATATTTAAATAGCGGTTATAACGTCGATGCAAAAAAAATTCGAAAAATGTTACTTTTTACTTACATATATGTGGGCGACATACCTGTTGAAGGCTTTTTTACTACAAATTTAATTTGTCATATATTTTGATTGAAGGATTTAAGATCCAACTTCAAAACTAATACAGATAGTTTAAACCGTCATCGAGGAACCCTTTTGGCAAAAAAAAATTTCAGATATTGTAATTATAGTGGGTCAACGGGTTGAAAACGGTTTTAAAACAACGTTTCTGTTACTTAGATTATTCGGTAGAAGGAGCTTATTTTTTCTGTTGCAAATTGGCGCAACTATATATTTAAAGAGCCGTCTAAACGTTGATGCAAAAAAAATTCGGAAAATGTTACTTTTTACTTATATAGGTGTGGGCGACATACCTGTTGAAGGTTTTTTTACTACAAATTTAATTAGTTATATTTTTTGATTGAAGGATTTAAGATCGAATTTCAAAACTAATACAGATAGTTTAAACCGTCACTGATTAACACTTTTGGCAAAAAAAAATTTCAGATATTGTAATTATAGTGGGTCAACGGGTTGAAAACGGTTTTAAAAAGACGTTTCTGTTACTTAGATTATTCGTTAGAAGGAGTTTTCTTTTTATCTTGCAAATGGAAGCAACTATATATTTAAATAGCCGTCTAAACTTTGATGCAAAAAAAATTCGGAAAATTTTACTTTTTACTTACATAGGTGTGGAAGACATACCTGTTGAAGGTTTTTTTACTACAAATTTAATTAGTTATATTTTTTGATTGAAGGATTTAAGATCCAACTTCAAAACTAATACAGATAGTTTAAACCGTCATTGAGGAACCCTTTTGGCAAAAAAAAATTTCAGATATTTTAACTATAGTGGGGCAACGGGTTGAAAACGGTTTTAAAAATTCGTTTCTGTTACTTAGATTATTCGGTAGAAGGAGTTTTCTTTTTATCTTGCAAATGGAAGCAACTATATATTTAAATAGCGGTTATAACGTCGATGCAAAAAAAAATTTCAAATATTTTATTTATAGTGGGTCAACGGGTTGAAAACGGTTTTAACAAAATTGAAAATATACAAACTACAAAGGTTATTAATGTTTTATTATTGTGGTAAATTGTTTACTGTACAGTGACACAGTGTATCAGTAATCAGTGTACACGAAATAATATTTATTGACAAAATTACTTTCTGTAATGCATGTGACCGTACATCTCGGCGTCGGCGATCGTTATCGATAAGCTTATAATTTTAGATGTATAATATATATAATACAGGGTTTTTCAAAATGATTCATCCGATTTACATTACATCCTAACCTGAATCGGATGAATCATTTTGAAACACTCTGTATATAATAAATATAGATCCATGCAATGAAGTTAAAAATAGATGTGTAAAATGTAAAAATAATAACCGTTCCTGAACGTGATAACAAGGAAATATGTTTGGTATTATTGGTTATTCGTTAATACTGTTTATATTATAGCTAAATAGTAAATAGTATACCCGTATTTATACCTGCGTATCACAAATTATAGTATAAGTATACGCATCATCCAAAAACTGGAGAAGTCGTTATACGCCGTATACCCGCGTATACGCCCCACTACACCACTGGGTATTCACCAACAGTGATTACGAACTGAACGCGATACATAGGAACGAGACCAAACCAAATTCCAAGTATGTACTTATAGACTATAGTCTATACTAAATTGTATTTGATAGAATCTTGGAATTTTTAATTTTATGATTGGAACCACAACCGCGATAACACTTTTCCGGGTGCAAGAATATGAGTATAACGAGGTCAATGAAAGACAACAATTGTTATAAATTAAAAATCCCTATTGTTTATTGTAATAAATATCAATAACTAATTTATTTACGTTACACACAACTATACTTATATTATAATACATTATTATCTATACAATGGCTATAATAAACTAATTACACGATAATTATGTTATGTAAAAAAAAAAACAGCTGGTTTGTCTCTAAAATCTAGTGAAAACGAATTCCATTTACAGATTAGGGCTCATTTAATCCGTGAATCGGATTCGTTTTTAATAAGCTTTACAACAATCAAACGAAATATTATTCTACATTGGTAAATATTGTCGCAATGATTCTAATAATTATAAATATCACATTGTTTTATTATTCCTTATATCTCATGTTTATGTAATAACTTATTTTATAATATACACGAAACTTAAGATTTAAGAATAATTAAACATTTTAAAGTACAGTTTTGATGTTACCCTGTTCAAAAACACATAATAATATTATTATAAATAATATTTATTTACACAAATAAATATTTAAGTCATTATTAAAAAGGTCTATAAAAATCTATGCTAAACTGAATGTGTACTACACATATTTTTTAGTTATTTATTGATTAATTTATTATAAGCCAATAAATGATGGTGGTTTTTTTTGAGTTTTTTTGTTTTTTATCAAGACATTATTACGAGTACATATATTTACAATATTCCTATAATCATGTAAATATATCATAAGTATAATACAATATTAATAAAGTTACGTTTACTGTAAGAATATATGCCGTATAATATAATGCTCCCACAAGGTTCATTGGGTTTCCGAAGTTTGAGGTGTTCATCGATTGACGAAAGTTGTATGATATTATTATTATTATGTACCTACTACCTATAATATTATGTACTAAAACTGTTTGGGTTAAAGCGGTTAAAGTTTAGAATATTTCGATCGTTGCAGTGTAAAGATGATAATAATATTATTATCTATCATCCCGGTGATCGCGCGCACATATAGGAACCGTTGTCCGTTACACATATTATTATAATTATTGGCGTAGAGGGTGATGGAGCTGGTGACGGCGTGCGAAATGGAAAACCGCGAACGACGTATACATAGTAACCGGAAACAATCGTTTTTAGGAACAGAAACGTCGCGGGAGGAACACTCGCACACGGGTGTGTGATACTTGGCCTATGATATATGAAAGTCGCCCTTCATCAGCCTGGTGAGCGTCTTCTTGAACTGGTGGTTGGCCAGCGCGTAGCAGAACGGATTTATTGGGCTGTTGGCATAGCACAAGAAGTACGCGAACAAGAACAGCCGCTCGTTGGTGCACGGCGGGTTGGAGCAGAAGCCCTCGATGAGCGCCAGTATGTGGTACGGGGTCCAGCAGGCCACGAACGCGCCCAGTATGAACGATATGGTGCGGAACGCCTTCCGGGCCCTGTTTTCCGACTTGGACTTTTGGCGGCCGGATACTTTGGGCCGTTTCACCTTCAGGCGCTTGCCGATGGTCCGGACGAAGTCGCCGCGAGAACTGCCCTCGCGCTTGTCCCCACTGCCTCCGCCACCGCCCCCGCCACCACCGCCGCCGCTCTTGGTAGTCTCTGACGAGGACTTTTCGCCGGTACCGGTGGCGGCCGCGTAGCCGTCGTCGCCGTTATCGTCACCGTCATCGTCGTCGTCGTCGTCGTCGTTACCTGCAGCACCGCGGCCGCGCCTCGTTACCACTACGGTCGTGGTGCACTTGACCGACGCGGAACTGCGATTGCGGCCGTCCACCACGACGGCCGTGTTGACCTTGGCGATGGCGGGGCCGTGCGACTGGCTCATCTGTTGGGCCGCTGCCGCCCGGATGAGCGCCGCCTGCAGCAGCGACGACGAGGCCGCGGCACCGTGGGCCGGAGAACACTGGGCCGAAGACATTGTTTCGTTCATTGAACTGGTGCTGTTGGTCGGGCTCTCGAACGTCGGCGACCCGATGACGATAGAACTGTCGTCCATGAAGTGTAGCTCACCCGTGTCCATGCCGACGAGCGCGTCCACCCGGCTGTCAGGCGGCGAGGGCGTGTCGGGCGGCGTCCGGTTTCGCGGTACCATCGGTGCGCTGCAATTGACGACGGCCACGTTGGAAAACGACCGGACGATCGGACTACCGTTGTTGTTGTTGTTGTTACCGGACGTGTTGGAGTACGGTATGAGATTGTCGGATGGCGACAGGTGTATGCCGCTATTGGACCGCTGCACGAGCGCCGACTGTACGATCAGTTCGGCCACCGACTTTTTGCGCGGCCAGTTGATCTGCTGCTGCTTCTCGCCCGTCGTGCTCTCCTCGTCCGACTCGAATGCCGGGCTGCTCGATCGCTCCTTGTCCACCACCACCACTGCTGTAGCATTTCGATCGTCCGGGCCCGTGTTCCGGCAGGCCGCCGCCTCCGCTGCATTCTCGTCGAAACCGGACGACCTGTTCCCGCCGGCCGCCAGCTGTCGTTGTAACTGCTGCTGTTGTTGGTTTTGATACTGTTGCTGTAGCTGTTGCTGCTGCTGCTGTTGCTGTTGCTGTTGCTGATGCTGCTGTTGCTGTTGTTGCTGTGGCTTGTCGTGCACGAGCAGAGTGCTCTGAGTCTTGGACATGCCGATGCCGGCCGCGTGACCGGCCATACCAGATACGGTGCCCGCGCTCAGCGCCACCATCGACTGCATCTTGCGCTGTTTCGCCTCACTCTTCTTTTGCATCTCGTACGCCACCTTGTAAATGCCGCCATACAGCACGAACAGCACGATGAGCGTGGTCCAAAAGTAGCCGATGATCAGCGCCGTGTTGAACACGGGATCCTTGAGGAACTGTACGGCGCACTGGCCCGGCAACAGGTCGCGGTAGCCGACAAAGTGTTCCCAGCCGAATATGCTGGTGAAGAACAACAGCGCCGGGATGATCCACGTGAGCACGACCATCCACATGACCTTGTCCTTGGTCCGCCAGCCCCGGTACCGAGCCGCAATCTTCACAGAACAGAACCGGTCGACCGTGATTAGGAGCACCGTGTACTGCGACACCAGGCACACCGTGTAATCGACGGACAGCCACAGGTCACACAGCAACGGTCCCAGGTCCCAGTACCCCTGTAGTATGTACACGCAGTAGAACGGCATCGACACAGTACCTGTTCACGGCAAACAGACAAATATTGATTCAGTCATTGTCAGGTTTATATATTTAAATACAGATCGTACTATAGTCTATAACGCATGTCGCGGATCGTTAGACCAACGTACGTATATGTTCCATATTATTATTATATCTCTCTTAAACTTCAATTAAACGCTTCTACACTGGGAAGGTCGTTTTTGAAAAATATTTGCTTAGGAAATGTTTAGATTTACCCAGAACTTTTAATAAACATAATCGATACAATTCATTACTCAATAATTGTAAGTATTACGAGACTATAATATTATAACTCATAAAATCACAACAGATTATTTTGATAAGTTACATTAAAAATAATAATAACTCCTACGAAGAAGGACGTAATTCAATTTTTTTTTCTTCATTTTTTGGTTTATTTGGGTTTCTGCTAGCTAACGTTTTTTTCTTTATATTCCCGACGAAGATGGCTTTACACACTACTCTGCCAAAGATGTTGTAAATACAATCAATTATAAAGTCAATCATATTGGCTTTACCAGCAAACAGGGACTTACGTATCTTGAGTTAGATACGTCCATTTTTAATGAAAACAATAGGCAAAATTATTTTTCAGCGAAGTTTATTTTTTTTTGAAGAATAATGACATAACTTGAAATACCTACGTTACAACTTTAATCTATTCTCCTGAAAAAGTTATAAAAATTGGAGTTGCGTTTTCTATTGGTAGGAGGTGTTGAGTTATATATTTATTTTCAAGAGTCACTAAATTATTGTGACGTCTAATGAAGTATTATAGTACCTATTATACTCGCTAATGATGATTGATTTTGAAAGCAAGCGTATTGTTTAGGATAAAATATAGGTACTTACATTAGTGCGTCGGATCCTAGGATAAAAAGTATTTCAATATTATCGATCTACTTTGTTTTTTTTTCTCTTTTATATGTGTTTAATGTCAATGTCTTTGGTAGACATTTTATTAACTAGTGATTAAAAATATTTCAACTTTGAACAAAAGATCAAGAGCTTTCAAATTTGCCAGGATATCTAATATCCTATAGGGTTAGTGTTTACGACGAGAGGCGTCTAACAGATTTTTCCGGAAATATTGATAATCCTTTGTAGACTAGGCGGGGATGTGTTGGTTCTTGTGTTTTAATTTTTGTACAACAATAACACAATTAAAACACACTGTGCCAAACGTTAGGTAGGTACATTGTATTTGGTATAAAATTATGGCACATAAATACATAATCTCTTTAATAATACCTATTGCTTATTTATAGTTCATAATAATTTGTAAACCTTAGACGTCGGAGCATCAAAGTGTGAATAAAGTATATTCTAATATAAGTTAACAATTTCATGGGTAATAAAGCACGAAATTGGTGGTAATCATTATTGCAGTCGTTACTCACAAAACACATTTCCGTAGCGTGTTTAATCTATTCAAATATTAACGGCAATATTATTTCTGTTGATAATAGTAACGGAATGCTCAGGATTGGATTTAAATATTTTTCATGGGGTATTTAGCTGAATTATTATTATAGGCACCTACTGGTTAAATATAGGAAGTAAGCAAAATTAAAATATCGATGGGATGCCCGGATGGGTGAGAAACGAAATAAGAAATCAATGTTTAATAATATAAAATATAAAGGATCAATGAAATTATTGTTGTGGTGTGACTATAGAAAGTTTGTGAGAAAGTTTTCGTTGAACTGTTATCGTTCTTCTTTACACTATTCAATTCTATAAGTTTGGTACGGGGAGTGGGGAACTCACCGATGGTTGTGAAAATACGGAAAATGTATTCCCTATATATATAGCTCACAAGATCGAAAAATATTAGTTGTTAGGTTTTTTGATAATGTATTGAAATTGATATTTTTCAATTTCTATTTTACCATACCTACTTAATTGTTAGGAAAGATTTTTTTTTAATAATATAAAAATATATGTAGGTATACAATGTTTTAAACATTTTGATACAATTACTTGCAAGGATACATTTTATATTCCGTGTGAGGCTTGTCAATTATTGTCATTATAATACAGTTATTTTCACGCTAACACGAGAAAAAAGGTAAATTATTGCGTTGATATAATGGGTTCTTTGGAGTTTCGTATATATATATTTTGTAATTGCATTAGGTACAGTTGTTGCAAATTATTACATGTTTTCGCTTTTGGTTTTTTTTTTAACTTGTTATATCAATATTTTCTGATCTGAGTTTTGTGAATTGTAAAAGGAACAATAATTATTATACACTGGACGGAAAACAAGTAATTCCAGTATAAAAAGTGAATTGAAATTGTAGTGAAATATGAAACAATAGTAGGTACATAAATTGCAAGGGTGCGGTCTGCTAAAATCGTACGAAGCTTATTTAATATTTACAAAAAAATAGGCGATTAACATATTTTTTTATGCAGGCACATTGAATACTTTTTTAATACCTGACAAATTTATATAAATATATGATAATTTATGTAGGTACGTGTGTGTTGCTAGAATAATTCTAATTCTAAGAACAAACTAAGTTAACCATGAATGACTAGTAGGTATGCATAAAAAATTCATAATACAATATTTTAACTAACCATTTCTCTACATCCAATTTATTTTTTAATCACTATACGAATAAAATGGTGCTTCGTAAGGTTTTTTTGTCATTATAATTTCTATTAGATCCTTTTTTATATTTCCTTTTATTTATATGCACAACAGTAAACTTCGCCAAGGTTGTCCAAAACTCGTCACATTTACATTTTAGTGCATGTGATAACAATCGTATTTTATGCAAGTACCTAGTATAAAATGTCATATTATATATTGTGTACGCAGGTCAAGGTGAACAAAAGTCAAAACAGCAACGAAAAAGAAGAAAAGTTAAAAGTATTTATTTCGAAGGTCCCAAAGGAAAAAAAAGACCTGGCCCATACATTTGATATATATAGCTAATCTCGTGTTCCGATTCTATAATGCTTTGACAAGCCACGCGAGTCGTTTGTAATTGTATCCGAGCCCTCAATGAGTATAAGAGATTTGGAGGTATAGCAATATGTGAGTCGAGTGAACGATTTTGAACAATATTTTGACACGCGATCAATAGAAATGACAGTAATACCATATACAACGATCGATTGCAACTGAAATCGTAAAATCGTAAGCAATTCGTTGGTATAGGACTTAGGTGATTGACATAATGGCATTTCTTTTCTTTTTTTCAAACACACGAGCTTTTAGCGTTTACATTAAGTACGGTTGTAATAAATTAACATATTAGGTACATGAAGTGTGTATCAGATGTCGTTTTACGCGAAATATTTTAATGGTTTCTGAACAAAAAAAATGTGAGATTAAATATATCAAAATATAACAATAAGCATTTTATTTTTGCTTGAATATAGAATAACACATTTATTTTGTGTTAATTAATTCACTCCAGTTAAAACTTAAAAAAACGTCATCCAGTTACTTTTTTTACTTTAAATGTATCCAACAAATATGGATTATTTTAATTTTTAGTGTTTATTTTTCTATATAAACACCAATGGTCACGAATCATACATTTTTTTTCCTAATAAATGATTAACTTATCGCGACTGTTTAAGGTTCAGTAAATTAATTAATGATTTTAATTAAAATAACAGGAATAAATATAGGTAGGTACTTTATGATGGCTTAAAACATTACAATTTTTCTTAAAGTGTTTAATTCGATTTTCGGAATCAGTTTCAAAAACATTATGAAAGTTTATTATAAGAAAGTGATTGTGTATTTAGGTACATACATTTATTTTTATACATTGATAAAGTATGTATAATGTATATTGTATATTTATTTGAAATTAAATAGTTGAGAATCAAAATGTTATATTATTCGACCAGTGGAGAAAATATGTTTGGTAAAACAAACACTGCTATAAGAATCATGAAAAAGGAGTCTGTTGAAAATAAAGGAATGTGTGTTTTATTTCATTCTATATTGTTATCACGCTGAACGGTTTTTGCTAATTGCCAGTAGAACAAATAAAATATATCAGTGACCAGAGATAAGTCCTATTTCAAATAAAATCTAAAAACAGAAAACCGTATCATACTCGTACTAGGTATTATGTATTATGTCTACATCGAGACACATCTCAGTCAATAAAGCCGAGCGATTTGCCCATTGAGATGTGTTTAAGGGGAAAGGAAAAACTTCGTCGTATTGTTCACTGTAGTTGCGAATACTTATAGACGCATTTGTGGTGCGATAATATATAAGTTTACCCTCCTCAAACGTAATGTAAACCGTTAGATAATATCACTGTGATTGACCGTTTGACACAGTAATAACGTACTCCCGGATATTAGCCGCACCACAATAATGCGAAGTAAAATTTTCACAGTCCACTCGCACTCTCGGTAAGAGAATTGGGGGAGGGGGTAAATAAGTGCGAATGTACTAAGATAGTAGAACTAGTTCTGTAATGGACAGTTAACATTTTTAATTTTCAAACCATGCCATTGACTGGTAAATTAAGACTCCTTAAAATATTAAATATATTTATTGGATTTTGTCAAAAGAATGGCATTTAAAGTTTAAATTTAAACATCAGCCTATATTCTATCGATACTAAAAATTAACTGTGACGCACTCAGGATAAGTAAAAAATATGACTTTTTTATTGGGACACACTGGGCAGTGATACCTATATCTCCTTCCAGACTCTTGGGGTATTAAATAAGGGCGATTTCGGAACGCAGCGTGGAAGCTCGGGGGGCGTATCATCCTATAGAATAGATCGGGAATCATTAGTATACGGGATGATATTGTTTCTTGGTGACTATTTTGGCTCCAGAATTGACAGGTGGTCGAGAGGTGGGCAAGGTGCTTATATCGTATTTTGTCTATTCGTTTTCGAATTTTTTTCAGATTTCGCGGTCGCCGTACCGATCAACATGTCCGTGGCGGCCAGCGACGCGATGAAGTAGTTGCTCGGCTGCCGAATGGTCCGGTCCACGATAAACGACACCAGCACCAGTATGTTGCCGGTGATGGTCAGCACCATGCACACGCCGATGACCAGCACGATGATGACCTTTTGCCAGGACTCGAATGGAGACAGCACCGGCGTCAGGTCTGCGTGTGCCACCACCGCTGTGGTCCAGTTGGTGCCGGATCCCGAAGCGCCGCCTGTCGTGCCGTTGTCGACGGCCACTGCGACCGAACCGTTGACGACAGTTTGATCCATCTGCGAACTAACGCCGTATCGCATAAATATCAAGGTTATTTAAGTATAACTTGTTTATATGTAATATGGTTGTATAACATAATATAATATATAACACACGTGTGTGTATTTCGGATCAATAAGTTGCGACATCCTGCAATCATGACATTTAGCTCTTAAATTGATATTTTATTTAAATACGTATAGAAAAAAATAAGATTTCAAAATACCAAGTATCATATCGTTGACAAGCTCTTTGTAAAGTATATAATTATATATTCGAGTTCCGTGAATTAAAAAAAATAAAAGTAAAACACGTCAAGAGCAACAATACGCAGAAGCTGTGATGATACGCGAGCCACGATCCAAGAAACAGCTCAGTTTTACGTAGGGCTTTGAAGATATTATTAAGAATGTCTCAAATTTCCAGTCATGAAAAAAACATAGGTATTTTGGAAAACGTCAACAGAAATATTGAAGTATTTTGTTTTAATGGTTTTGCTTTTAGCTTTTCCTGTTACTTACAAATTCTGAGATGGGAAATGTATATTACTAATTTATGTAAATATTTGAAGAGTTGAATTATTAATTTATATTAGGTATTCAGATGGTTATGGAGTTTTACCGTATAGGTAGTATTTATACTTAGTAGGTGGGATGACAAATACTGCAAGACAGTCACACTGTATAATTATTATGACATTATGTATATGTATGAGTTGGGCACTGGTTCGTGAGTTTAACGAAGGAGTTTTCTAAATTAAACTAAAACGCGGATTTTATTATTATTAGATGATATTGTTCCGAGAGTCCGTGATGAGAAACTTTTCCGCAATACCACCACGCGAATAGCCGTGTTTCGTTTACCACGACCACCCTTCAAAGTTTTCTGTCGTTTTCATTATATTTTATGAATAATAATAATAATAACTTTATTATAAATATATATGTGTTCGTTAAAGGAATAATTAATAATTATTATATTCAACGAAATTCGCAATTTACGTAGAAAAGTGGTCTACAGTATTATACACACATATATATATATATATAGGAACCGAAGTAACAGCAGCAGCAGGTACGACAGATTTTTTTTCAAGTTCACGTCTTGTGTTATTTTGATCATTATTTTTCTTTGGTGACGCAAATTACATAATATTATCATTATAAAAATTACAAATTCTAAATACCTGCTTCAAAGCAAATGCAATATACGTATTAGTATATGCATATTATTTTTAAATAACGAGCGCTAATTAATTGAGCCCCCTCTTTTAACAAATAGAATAATGGCAAACGATTAATATTAATAAATATAAAATGATATTATTATTATAGGCACTTCTACTAAGTATAAAACAATTAAAATATTACCTTACCTAAAATCGAATTCAATCGCATTCAGCTTCAGTATTACATTAAAATTATAGACATTAGATAATTTCACTGGTTCTTATATCTTCTTATTTTTTCCTTGTATACTTGATCATATGACAATTTACATTTAAAAAGTGAAAATTGTTGACGTCTGAATTTCACATCCTTAACGGCTACGTGTAAGATATCCTGTAAACCGTAATTAACGTCTAAGTATTATATTTGTATGTTAGAGAATATAAGTACGTTTAATGAATAATATTTTAGAACAAACTCCCATACAACTAAAATTATGGATATACTATGATAATATAATATTATAACGGCCGTGATGACATAAGCAAATGGATATTGTAAATTGGTTGACTATTTAAATACATTATTTTTTTACATTTGTACAGCGAAATATGTTACGAAAACCGATCAAAAGGATAATGAATTTATGGGGCAGTATTAGAAAAAAAAAAAACGTTGGTGTTATGTAGGTATTTTTTTTACTTCAAACTTTAAAGTGGATTTATAATACTATTTTTATCGCAATAAAAACACGTATGAATAGTTATTGATTTTGTACCTATGCGGAATTCGTTCAATCATATACCTATGTATATTATAAGCTCCGGGGACATGTCGGAACTAAATTATTCCAGTTGCCGGACCTGTCATAGCCAATAAAATATGTCCTAAACGGTTTCCGTTATTTGTGTCGGGTCGCCGCGAACAGATGGATACATGTACGCGAGTCATTTAAAAAAAAATGTAATGTACTTCTCTCTACCTACGCTACGTCACCACACTCCACAGAGTTTCCAATTATATATAATATTAATATATTAAATACAAAACTACTACCACCGCGTGTTACCCATATTATTATAACTTTTATTGAATTTTACTGAGTGTGGCGAGTGCGCTCTCGCGGAATTGCATCATATCATAATATTATTCTGTCCATGGCATTAGAATTTAAATATGGTTTAAAATAAAAATGAATACTAAACTCGTGACTGGGAATATGAAAAGCCGTACATCATTTGAGCATCGTTTGTTTACCTGTGCGAAAATATCGTACATCGTTTGCGCATCGGTGGTAGATTATCGTTTGCGCATCGTCTGTTTACCTGCACCAAATTATCGTACATCATATGCGCATCAAAATTCTGAACAATAGAAAAGTATATTAATAATTGTACGCACATATAATATTATATAGATAATGAATAATTTAATATACATAGGCACAAGTTTTTGTTCAATAAGCATTTAAAGTTCAAATGTTGACAAAATTTATCCAAAGCTCAAAAATTTGCAAATTATTTTGTAGTAAAAAATGTAATACTCAGTTCAATTGGGCACATCACAAGGTCATAGTTATAGTAAAAAATATACATATAACATATAGGTAGTTTGAGTAAAAATGAATTCAACTAAATTGTGTTCAGTTAATTTAGGATTGAATTTTATGATTAAAGTTAGAAAACAACGCGCTTTTGGGTATACACCTTTTTTTCAGCTCTGTTATTAAATAATCTTGATGCGCAAATGATGTACAACCTTTTAAACGATCGATGCGCAAACGATGTATAACCCAAAAAATCAAACGATGCGCAACTGTCTTACAAAAAAGGTCAAAAATAACAATAGTGATGCGCAAACGACAACCGGCGATATGAAAACTATCTGACTTGTTGATCAGGAAAAGTATAAATCGCCAAAGATGTATAATGGGCCATATTTTTTTTTTCAATTCCCTAGGGTCACATGCAATGCGTAGTCGGCCGCGTCTGTCGTCCATACCATGGCCTTAAATATTTTATTCGTCGAACAATCCAATTCCAGGGAGCTTCAGTTGCGGCTACATAAAAAGGTCAGCGCACGTCAAACTGTTAGCATAACAATGAAAAAAAGCGACCACCCTGGCGCCAATACTCTCTCACACGCACATACACACTGGTCAATCATCAGGGGAGGATTGGCACAAAGAATCGGACGGACCTCGGCGATGTTTATGAATTTTGTATTTGGCCCGATCGCAACACAAAAACTGCGGCCATAATATAATATAGGAATACTATTGAGATTTTCACTCAGACATCAGCGCCGATATGCTTAATATAATAATATCCGGGTCAAAATCTTGGCAGCCCGGGGGGGGGGGGGGGTGAAACTACGCTGTGCGCATATCGCCGGCGATAACATCCCACGTTGAATAATAATAATAATAATAACGACGGCGACAACAGTAATAAATCATATATTATATAGTATTCACTATTCTGGTCCTGACGGTCTTTCGTCGCCGGATATTATGTTCATACTTATTAGCGTCGGTTTTCCACAACGGACACGGTTCAGGCCTGGTCAGGCAGTTATACAGCTGTTGTAGCAGGGTTGGACGCAGCATTTCTCCGAAAACGAAAGTCGCCGGTTCCCGTACCGACGTGACGACCACTGCTCCTTATCGGTTTGATTTGACAACCTGTGCATGGAAATGAGACAATTTAATATAGATGTATCGGAATAATATTGTGGTTTTTGTGTGGGGTGCGGGATGGGATTTCGAAGATTTTTGTTTAGTTTGAATCATATAGCTCGGTCGCGGTGCAAGTTGGTTCCAAATGAACTGTAAGCGGTTGAAACGTCTCAGTCGGGAATAATATTAGTGTATTATATTATTACGTCAGTGAACTTCCTAGGTATTATCCTGCATGACTGCGCGAGAGTCATCGAGTCCTAAAACGATACCCAACTCAATTTTCTCTAAAAATGACATTCGGCATTCAGTAAAACGGATATTGTAATGTATACAATCATAAAAATATATAATATGCATGGTTAAATGTATATAACATAACGCAGTAGAGCCACCGTTTGAAGTTTCTTTGTTGGTATTTATTATTGACATTAGTATAGGTAAAACATTTTTTGATTTATGGTGTTTGGATGGATTCCAGAACATCCTCCTTCTCCTCCACTGTTAATACGGAGGTCGTAGGTAGACTTTAAGACACAAGTACGAAATAATATTTAAAGATTTTAACACTTTTAAATCCATTTTATAATATTTGTTAACAACTTATTATAATATTATTATCTTATTGGTAAATTATATTAATTGTATTAAAATTAATAATAAAAAATATTATTGAAATTACTTATTATTATTTTTTGTTGGTTTATTTATCTTATTAATTTATTTGTATATTAATTGAAAATTGGAACTATCAACATTTTTTTATTAATCCTATATATATAATATATAAATTTCGTGTCACTTCTTTGTCCAGGATAAACTCTGAAACTACTTAACCGATCTTGATGTCATTTTTAAAATGTGTGTAATTTGGCCAAACTTAAAAGATAGGCTAATTTAAAAAGGGAGAGGACCAACCCCGGGGGGTGCTCAAAAGGGAATTTTGAGATTTCAGATGGAAAGTTTTGTTTATAAATGGTTGCCAGGATTTACGTCGTATAAAATGATTCGTTCTAGAAATTTCAATCCAGAATTAAAATGAATCGTTTTAATTCGTTGACACGATAACAAACAAACCATTTATTATATACATAGACTATTTGTTATTGTACAATACATATTAAATCAGTATTATTATTATGCGTCTATAAGCAATGATGGGAGCTACATA